GCAGAGACCTCCTGGTCCTCTTCAATGCTGCTACTTTATGAGTGTATGAGCACAGTTCCTGGGCTGTCTACACTTCAGATAGAACTGTTTTAGTAGTTGCTGCTTTTGTTTCATAGCAAGATGCATTTGGGAAACACCCAGCAGATTTTCTGACTTTGCAACATATCTCCGAATATCAGCCAATTTTATTATATTGACCAAGTGAGCTTTATTGTATTGATCTGGACTCAACAGCTGTAAGCAGGCTCAGCGTAGCATGCCCACAGCAGGGCTGATAAATTAGGTTTCTTTGAAATAAAATCACTTACTGGCCAGCCTCTGTTGGATTAAACAGTTCCTAACATGTAGGTGGATTTTATGTCACATGCAGTGGCATTGTTGGCATTTTGTAGCATGAAGGAAATCTTAGTGCTGCATGATGAAAGAGCACAGACAGTTCGCTTGTTTTGGGTTTTGTTACTTCTGTGCTATAGGTTTATTGATATTGGCTCTATTGGACACAAGCAATTGCCCTTCCTGTTAAAGTTCCTCTTAGAAATTTTACATCAAATATTTCTCAATCGTGTACAAGGGTCCTGTAGAAAAAGAGCCATAAGGAGCTTCTGTGTCAGAGTCAGAGCACAGAGAAGCAACGTATCTGGGATTAGACTGCAGGGAGCTAAATCCCCTGTCTCTTGCCCCATTTACTTGGATTAGAATTTTCAAGTGTGGATTTGGAAATTAGAGAGTTACTCTCATTTCTCCTGAAGTTGACAGGAGTTAGATACCTAATTCCCTTGAGCCCATTGAAATTCTTGTAAAGCAAACACTGCATTCTCTAATTTCAGATTAGCCTATGCTGACAGGCTATTTAATGTGGCCTGCAAAGAAAATGCCTTTAAACTTGTCTAGATCCCAGTAACCGACATGGGAGGCAAACGACAAGAACCCGAGTAAAGATACTAATGCCACTTTGGGAGTCCTAGTAATCAGCTTGGGAAGCTGGTGCCAGGGAGCTGGATAAAGATGCAATTAAGGTTGCCACAAAGAAATGGGATACATTGCAGTTCCCAGCTGTGATAACTGAAGAGTTGGCTGTGGTTCCAAAACACCAGCATGATAGTAAAGCAGGAATGAGAGGACAAATACTTTGGCCTTTTCATTTTCCAGACATTTATGTTCGCTATCTGCATGGAGCCTAAATTATCCTGGAAAAATTCCAAGCCATAATCCTTTTTTTTTAACTCTTTCTCCAGTGGGTTAATAGAGTACAATTAGGCTTTTCTGGTTTGCATTGCACAAGGGACAACAAAATAAACATTTCCACTTATTTATGATCCAACTCAGTTTTCAGAGTTTGACAGTTTTACAAGTCCCTGAGTTCTTACCCTGGTCAATGCAAATACTCTGCCTTGAAAGCATCACATTTGAGCCTTCAACATTGAGTGGACAACATAACATGCACTCTACAGTAAGAGGGGATAACTTACGAATAAATAATATAAATAAACAATATAAACAACCTCAGGAGACCATAGTTCTAGAGCAACAAATGTACTTTTCATGGAGTGTGTATAAAATGAAATACCTCATTAGCAGCTTTAAGGCATAGGAAAGTAATACAAATTTTTATAGCCCTACAAAGATGCACAGACCAGAAAGACGCAATGGGAAACTTGTGATTTTATCTCCAAACAGACCCTTTCAGGCCTTGTCACTTCCACCACTGCCAGCACAACCAGTGATGACAGGATCTAAGTCACTGCATAAAGACCTCCCAGCTCCCAGCCGATGGCTCGTGAGCTGCAGGAAAAATGCATCAGTCCTACCCTCTATTCTGTTCTCCTGTCTCCAGGGAGGAGAGGCTGTGTGAGTGCCTCCTAGCTGGGCATGTTGAGAAAAATCTGTTCCTTTTGTCAAGCACTGCACTTGCGTACTGCAGAGAAGTGGACAGGTAGGATCCTGGAGTAATTAATGTAGAGGTCCTACAAGCAGCAAGAAAGCCTCTCGAACTGCTTGCTCACTGGAATGGTTTTGCAGACTTAAACACAAAACCCTTTAATAAATTAAGACCGATCACCATCTGATTCTTACCTGTCAAAACTGGAAAATTATATTGTATGAAGAGAGAAGTAAAAGTAATACGTGCACTGTGACTTTTAAAACTATCCTAAAGAAACTACTTTGAAATAGGAGAGCTGCAATGAGACACCTCTGTGAAAAATGGTATTTTTAGGCTAAGGTTTCACGCTAATCTGTCACCGGTGGGCAGTTACACGTTGCCATGCCTCTCCTTGCACCCACTGCCCTGCTCTTGCAACTGGTGCTCCCAGGAATACATGGTAGCCAACTCGGAAAGCTAGAGCGTCACAAACTTGATCATGCCCCAAAGAAGTGAAGAGTGTCCTGACAGTTTGGCTGTCCAGGGCTGCTGGCACAAGTTCAGAGGTGTCGGTGGAAGGAGGGGTGGGAGCATGAGGTAGGGGACAGGAAAGAAACAGGACTCCTGTTATGGAAGCTCATCAGTGCAACTGCAAACTCATGCTGCATCCTGAGAATAAGGTTCATTGTACTTATGCTTTCAAGCAGAAATTTGTATCCTCCCATTTTACATAGCATGAGTATTTTTAAAACATTGAAGTACAGTTTGACACTGTTCTTTAGTTGAATGTTGTGATAATCTTGTAGTAAGGCTGACTGGCCTGTTTCATATACAGCTTCTCCGTGGTTTCAGATGCTGCCTCTCCCTTGTTGTTCACAAAGTGCTGCTTCTCATGAGGAAAACATCTCAGAGACAATGCCTAAATCTCAGCAGAGGTGCCTTTTCATTACTGCAAGCATTCCTGTTAACATTGATGTTCATTCTGATAGGGGTCTATTACTTTGTCGTAGCATTCTAGTTCTTAAGTTCAACCTTGATGAGTCTGGGTTTGCCCTCCAATCTGCAAACAAGATAGTGCTCTTTTTCAGGTTTCAAGAATGCAGTTTTTCAGGTCTTAATCCCAAGTAGATGAAGGAGAGGAGGTGTCAGCCAACCTAATGTAGCTCCTGGATCTCCGAGGAGGAGGGGGCAGTGGAGCACAGAATGGCACCAGAGTGGAGAAGAAGGAGCAGCAGTGTGGAGGACAAGGTTTGCTGGGGTTGTTTGGCCAGGCAGGCGGTGGCACAGCCATCCTTTTGAATGCTGCTTCCAGTGGGACCGGACTGAATCCTCCTCAGCACAGAACGGACCTGTGTAACGTGGTACAGCTGTAGGATGGCACAGTGTATTGTTTCCCATAAACATCTGGCAGTAACCTATCACCCATAGCCCACAGGGAAACAGCTGCCTTGGCACGGAAATTTTGCTGGCAGCCTCTAATCTAAGGTAGAATATTAGGCTTTAGAGGAAATGACTTCTTTCTTTTCATCTGCTCAATTATGAAATGAGTTCACGAGAAGGAGGTGACATGTTTGGATTTCTCTGCTATTTTTGTTACGCAGATAGTGCCCAAAAGATCTGTTAAAAAATTGCTATCCTCTTGTATGATATCTAGCTCCTGGGCAGATACACTGCAATTGCAATAGTATTTGTGGGTGCTGCTCCATACTGGCTTTTTGAAGGCTCCCCCAAGTCTAGTTTCTATTCAGGAAGAGCTAACTTCTCCCCAACAAGCATCTGAGCAGCTATTCTAACATCAAGGAGAAGTAAGCAATTGCTGTCAGCTGGTGCTTATTAGTACATCTAATTGCTATCAGCTGGTGTTTATTAGTACATCTATTTTAACAGTTGGTCAGTAAACCTGGAAGATTATTTTGTAGTGACCGTGTGATTGTAGAAATAGGAAAGCACAATCTAACCAGTCAGTGAGGCTGGCTGGGAAGGAAGGTGTGTGTCATCGTTGCATGGTGAGAAGTAGACAGGCTGTGAAGCCAAGCTGGGATCAAAAGCTAGGGATGGGTATTCTGCACAAATGTTTCACCCATACTATTTATCTTGCCAAAGAAATAGTGTAAAGGTCCTCACAATAGCACCAAAGAGTCTTCAAGAAGGTTGTCTCTGCTTTTCCTGAAGGAATCTTAGGTAGGAAACTGACCTTGGCAGCTTTTAAATGCATGCCTTTAAGCATCATGAAAGTTGCTGGAACTGTGATCGTTACTTCAGCACCTCCTCTATGGCAGGATTTATAAGTATCTGTTGCACATTTATTAACAGTTCCTGCCCAAGGTGGGTGTATTAGTTAATGCTACTCGCAATTATTGCTCTTTTACGTGTCTGAGACTTTTAGACCTCTTTGGGGTCCCAAAGGAGAGGACTGCTGGGGTGCTTCGTCTATATTCTACCATTACTATTAAATGAGTTTTCACTTGTCCTTCAGGCTACACGTGCCATAAAAGCGAAGCAGTCCTGTGCATCGGTACTGAGCGCTGCCCTGTGGAGAGCAGTTATTTCCTTTTGAGCAATTATTTCTTATTTCCTTTTTATTTCCTCCTCTCATATTGATTATTATCATTGCAATACAGATTGGTTCGGGAATTCATTTTCATTGAAGTAGAATTCCAAGGCATCCATTATCCCTTTATGATTTCAATTTGCAGTAAGGTTGGGAGGAGGCAGCTTAGATGTCTCTGAAATATACTGGTATCAGTAGGACCTTTTCAGTAATTATTTTAGCAATGAAATAATTGCAGTAAATCTAATGGCAAATAATTGTAGCAATGCAGGTTAAGAACTTTTTAGTGCTTCATGTGTTGCCTCCTAACACAGACATTGCAATGTGGGGCTGTGCAAAGATGTGTTAAAGGGGCTGAAGATTTCCATTAGCAAAGAAAATTCCCCCAGCTTCTCTGTCCTCCTATGGAAGAGACCACCACTAAGTGTGAGAATGCCATTGTATTTTCAGTCATATTTGCTGAAAGTATTTTCTAGCCTGTTCTTATTGGCATTGCTGTTCACGGTCTGATTTGCTCTAAAAATAGAGTTGTACTTTTAACCTGTTGGGGACTGGGGAAGTTCAGACTCTTACCCGGTAGCTCTCCTGTTTGAGCTCAGGAACCCTGTGCACAGGCTTCAGTTGACCAGTTTAAAGAGGGGACTGAAATGAGGACAGCTCTAATTTCTCCACAGCTGAGCTGGATGAGTGACTCTATTGGGTTTTCCAAAGTGTGACTCACTTTGTCTCTGTGAAGACTTTCAGTGTTTGACTGGTCACCCTCCTGGTCCTTTTCTACAATTTTTTTTTCTTTTCTGCTTTGCTCTGTGAGTACAATGCTTGTGTTTTATCAATCCCCTGTCTTGGTATTCAGAAAATGCTGTGTTATGATAAAGATTGTGATAAATTATGGCACTGAGTATAGTAATAAATGTAGGCATAGTGTATATAGGCTATTGTGTAAGAAATTAGTTTCTGCTCTGCAGTTTGGGGGGAAAAAAAAAGGAGTCATGCATCTGTTTTATGTAGAAATACCCTTATCATCCTGTGGTATCACTTTATTCTCAGATGAAAAAGCCACAGAGTTTTGTGCAGAAAGGCCTTTGTTATGGATGGCATTGTCCAAGCGACTCAAGTGATAATGGAAATAATTTAAAGTTTAGAAGTAGAATAATAAAATCATGGAAGTGCTGTAAGTTTTTTGATGAGTTTCTTCAGCCTGTTGCACTAATGACTTACAACTGAGAAGTCAGAGCAAAGGAAGCAGTGAATTTGGATAGGTATGTGTGTGAAGTGCCTTGGAATCCTAATCTTTGAGTGTGTGTGAAGAAAATAGTTTTAAGAAGCAGGTCTGTTCCTCTAGCCTGTTCCATGCTACACTTTAAAAATGTTTCTCTCTACGGAGCTTGCTTGATTTTAAGGTAGTGTTAAAACATTTCTTTCAAAGTAATGTGTGCCTTTTGGTTGGTGGCTGTTGTAACGTGCATGCAGACACACAGAAAGTGTGGAATGGGAATCCTCTTCTCTTCAACAGACCCAGTAATTTCTAGTATTTGCAGAGTTTAGAGCCTGCCAGCACGTACTCGTGCTAAACATGTTTATATTTTTGAGGCATCTGGTGAGTGTTCTGTGATTCTGTGAAGTTATATGCTGCTCCTATGGGAACGTTATGGTATTGGCCATAGGGCTTTACGAATTGTCACAAAACGAGCAGTTAATTCTTGACATCTGCTGTGCTGAAGTGGCTGCCAAGTTGCGTGGGTAGTTGGCAAGGAAATAAATATTGATAGGCCCTAGCAACAGGTACTCCTGAGAACTCTTGTTCTGGGAACGCTTAGGCTGTGTCCAGTGTTATTAATGTTGTGATAGCATTTTAAGTTTATTTATAGGATTTGTTTGTGTCTTATCACCATGTCTCAGAACTGGAATGCATGAATGGGCTTTGCTGTGCGAGGGCATAGACATGTGTATCGTACACCCTTCTCTGGTGACTCATTTCGACATATAACAGATGCTTCACTCTCCACATCTCAGGGGCAGTGGATGGTCACCGACGTATGACATCTCAGGTATGTGCTCATATCTAGGCTCTCGTGTGTTTGCGATCTATCCTGTGTTGGAATGACTACTCCAGAGCTGTGTACGTATAAGTGCATCGGATAAAAGAATGTCTTTCTTTCTAGTAATACACAAACAAAGCATTCATGTGCAGGATTCTCTCAGAATCCCCCAGATAAAATTAGCTTGCTTTTATTGTGAAAAAGCTAATTCTTGTGAGCACTGTAATTGCAAAATGTTATGTTCTCATTGCAGAAATTGAAGCCAGAGAAGCCTGCGACTGGCTGAGAGCTGCCGGCTTTCCCCAGTATGCGCAGCTGTTTGAAGGTACGATCCCAAAAAGACTTGAGTTCAAGTAGAATTGTTTGTGCAAGTAACCTTTCAGAACCCGACACTTTCCATGGAAACAGGTCCAAATTCTGTAATATCTTCATGCAAACCTGTAGAAAAATAGTAACCTGGTGTGTGTTCTTGCAGAAGTGACATCTTAATTGGGTTGGTGTAGACTCAGTAGATTCTGTAAAGCACCGAATCTTTCCTGGTTACTGATAGACTGCAATGCAGCCAAATGTCTGCTTTTGTGATTTTCAGTTGCTTATAATTTTCTCAAGCTCTTTTCCTTGGAGTTCTGAGGTGGTTTTCCGACTCACTGATTGCAAGCAAAACTCATCTAAGGCTCTTCAGCCCGTGGTCTCAAGCAGAATTGTTTTATTGGTGTTTTGAAAAAGAATGTTGAAAAAATCATCTTCCAATCATAAGTTTTTAAAACAGATACTCAGAGGCAGTCAGCCACAGTCAAACAGTGCAATTTCAGCAGGTTTTCATGTTGCTAAAGCTACATAGTGCTTATTACTTCTGGGGGAGCTATGGATTTGTTGAGAACTTGTATAAATTTCAGACAATGCTTGTGGTCATACCTTAAACTGTTCTTCTTATAATATGTTTATTGTTACAAAAATTGAACGTACCCAAAGCTAATCTATTTTTACAAGAGATTTTTGTCAAAGAACTACATTTAAAAGAACTAACAGTAACTTCTACCTGCTTTCATTCCCACCTCCCCTGTTCATTGCAAAATTAGAAATTGGAAGTCAAGCAGTAAAGACAAATGTGAAAGCTGTACAGTGTGAAACATGATGTCTCATGGAAATGCTTCCTCTTTGACTAGAGCAGACTTTATTATATAAGCTGTCAATCTCAGAGTTCGTTGGAAATATACATTGTCATGCCTCTGGATAATGAATCCTCTGTATTACCTTGTTGTTTATGCCATCTCCTGACTTGACTGGGTAAATTAAGTTTAAAAAGTAAGTCAAGAAAATACTGATGGACCTCACTGGTTCCCTCACCTGCAAGGCTAAATCTCAGAAGCTGGAGTGTTGAGCTCTTCAGCTGGTGTATCCATTAGCTTCAAGCACAGCCTGGTGTGTCAGGCTCACTACACCTCAAATGTCTGTCACGTGCTGTGTTGTACCTTACAATCCAGAACAGCTTATTGAAAATACTCCTGGTTTTATACTGCACTTGAAAGCAGAAGTTGCAGAGAAATTAACCAAAGCAAAACTTTCATTTTGAATTTCTTGACTTACTCACTGTACTTAGTCACAGCAAGCTCCTGGAAATGCAGCGAATGCTTGTCTGCCTGTAACTAATGACAGCAAGAAGACACATTTATTGTCCTGCTTGCTCTACGGAGCTGATCCTCACTTACCTGAAGGACATTTGTGTGAATATATAGCTACAGAAATAGATTTAGATATATTTCACCTGTGATAAATATGTTGCAAACTTCAAAGTCTTTGCAATTATAACTCAGTTTTCAGATTCAACTTCTCTGTTCACAGATATGCAGTTTCCTATTGATGTTAAAACTGTGAGGAAAGATCATGAATTTTTAGATGGAGATGAGATTGAATCACTATTCAGGTAAAGGTTAATTATGAATAATCTTTAATACCTCCAGAGTCCATATTATTTGTCATTCATCCTTTCATACCTTAGTTTTTGTCAGACACTAGTAAAGTCACCAATGCTGTGACTGAACAGACTTCACGTTACAGTATGAAGCACATATTTTAGCACGGCTGAAGTTGGATGTTGGAAGAATTTAAAGGTAAAGTAAGCATGTGTCTGCATGTCTTCTTCAGCCAAGGTCTCAGTGATGTTATACTAAGCATCAAATCTGTCTTTTCTGTACTGCAAAATGCCTGCAGGCTGAGGAAGAACAATCCGTTCCCTGCAAGCACGTGGTACCACAGCAGTTTGCTCCTGAGAGTTGCATGTTTACTAGTGCAGGGATTTCCTCTGACTAGTGAGCTTCCCCAGAGCTGTTCCATAAGTTAAACAGCTAAAATGATCTGCACAAGAGATGCTTTTTCTGGTTTGTTTTCCTGAAAGTTTTTTGAGAAGCAAAGGCATTGATCTAAAATTATTATTTTGCCACAGCTGTTCAGAGTGTGAAATTGCATTGTCAGTGCAAAGTCAAACTCATTGTTCTTTGCACTTTTCCCATGTAAGAGTGCCAAGCTAGTGTAGAGGCATTTTTCTTATTACTTACTGCAGTTTTTGAAGCCTTATTATGAGATCATGTAGCAGGTGAGGTGAATTCCAGACTATCCATGCCACTTGGCCAACCCAAGGGATGCAATAAGAATTTCTACCCCCTAAGGGACTGGAAAGTTATTCTTCTGGCAAAGAGGCTTGGTCCTTTTCTGTATTGGTAGGTTGCCTGAATTCAGATTCTGCTTGTAATAGGAGCACCAACAGGAGCTGGTCACATAGACATCTCTAATGCACAGCAGATATTAGAGAACTTCGGCTATGTTTTGTTTATTGATATGACTTCTGTCTTGAGTGTTTCTTGAAGGCTGTCAGTGTCTCCCTCTTGATGCCACATATTTGTTTGACAGTTAAATAACTGACTAGTTTGAGGTCTTATTGATTCCACATGTTTTCATTAAAAGTCCTTCCAAGGATATAGGTTAATGTCTTCTTTGTTTGTGGTTTGTTTTTTTTTTTTTAAGTTCACCCAGGGTTTCTTTCATTTTCAATATCTTAAATCAATATACAGTTTTTCACAATCATTAAAACTCATAATATGATTTTAATTGACTGATTACTTATGGTCCTCTTTTAAGAGGGCCAGTGGTCCGATTTTAACATGGCAAAACTGGAACTGTGAACATCATGGGGTTGTTAGTTGGCACTGGTTTTGGTACCTTTTTAGACAACCTCTAACAGAATGTTAGTCTTTGATGTCAATAATGAAGACTCCATGGTAGAAATTCACACTAGTTTAGTGCATGTTTGTTTTCAAGAAATAAAATAGTTTAAATTTAAAACTTCTGTGTTTTTTTCTTATACTCTAGACGGTTGAACACGTTGAACAAGTGTGCATCAATGAAAGTGGAAATAAGATGCCAGAGGAAACAAGTATGTTTGCAAAATAAAATTAATTTTATCATTAAAAATGTGTTTAGCTATTATACCAAAAACCTGTTTTTAAAAGGTGTTGGAAAGATTAGCAATTTCTGAACTTTTCTGTCATGTAAAGCTTTTCCATTTGCATTTTCCATTGAAAAGCATAGTGATGGAGATTGAAATTATGTAATGTTCATTTCATAACTTTGTAAGGTAGGTTAGGGGTGGGTTTTGAAACATTTTTAAAAATTAATTTAACACACATTACTGTCCAATAGTTGCACCAAGACCCCACCCCAGCATGTCTTTTATTTCTTTCCTAAGTAGTTTAATGTCTTAAGGTCTGACAGTGAAACTTTGGCTTTAGCAAAGGCCACATAAACCCACTACAATTATCTTTCAAAATCTTTGGATTTGCTGCAAAACAGAATTTTTCATCTTCAGATCAAATATGTCATTTTTTCCTGTGGTAAATTTACCAGATTTGTCAGTGGGCTTGGGAGTAATTTGTCAGCATGCTTTTCATCTAACAGAACAGAGCTGAGGGCAGACCTTCAGTAACTGAGTGGTCACATTTCCTTAGGTTGGTCTCGGGGGTTTTGGAGGTAGGCAGAAAATATAAGTCTTCTTTTTTTGTTACATTTTTTAGTAATTTAAAGTTTGCCAAAGTTTGTCCTTGATCTGTACTTTTTTTTTTTTTCCTTCTAAGAGTGATGACTCTGAAGATGATGAACCTTGTGCAATAAGTAACAGATGGGCTTACGAGAGGTGCAGTCAGAGATGGTCTCGTATTGAGAGCATAGAAGGCTTCCCAGGAGAGGAAGGTGCTAGTGCATCAATCCCAGGCAGCCCAATACTGAAGAGCATCAGCAACGAGGGTACTGTCTTTCTGGATCATGGTGAGAAACATGATGTGTCCTCACTTCACAGTACTAGCAGTGGTGACAGTGACATTGGTAGCTTCCCAAAGCCTTTTGAAGATGTGGAAACCAGCACCAGTTCTTCAAGATGTTCCTCAATTAAGGTGGCTTCACTGGACTCTACTTTTAGTCGTTCTCCTCCCCCTAGTGAATGTTTAAGTACCACTAGTGAGGAGAAAGTTTTGGATAAGTCACAATCCAAGAGGAAGAGCCTTCTAAAGAAAATGGAGAAGTTGCACTTAAGGAGCTGCAACTTAAGGAGTGGTCAATCAAAGGCCAAACCCCTAATAAGTGAACCTGTTCTTCTGGAAGGATTTAATGAAGAAAAGATGAAGATGCTGAACTGTGTAAATATTTCTGACCTCTCTGGCATCCAAACAAAGAACAATTCTTCCTTTTCTTCCCAGAGCTGCAATAGCAGCAACCAGTCTGAAAATAGCAGCACAGTGGGTGCTACAAGTCCTCCTATAAAACTACGAAGCCACTGTGAAGGAAAGGGGGTGTGTGCAGAGGACTTGGATTCTAGCAAGCTCTTACTGTGGAATGATCTATCTCAGCAACACCTAAAAAATGACACGAAGTTACAAATGAACCAGATGTTTCAAATACCACAAGGCCATAAACCTGGGACTTTCCCCAAAGCACTTACAAACAGCTCCCTGTCTCCAGTAGACAACTCTTCCATCAACTGGAGAACTGGGAGTTTTCATGGGTGCAGGAGGAACCGGAGCAGAAGCAGTTCCAAGGACTCCAAAGCCCCCAGGAGTCCCCTTTCATGTGCAAATAACAGGCTAAGTGTATATGACAACATGCCCGATATTGAACTTGACAATATGGAGGCAGCACAAGTTGGTGATGACGATGTTTTTTCAGAACTGAACAATGTTATAGAAGATGTCAATGGTCTCAAAAAGTTGGTTGATCAGTGGACAGAGAAGTTCTCAGATGATGGAGATTCAGACTTTGCCAGTGACTTGACCTCTTTGTATCCATCCTCTCCTAAAGAAATCTGTGTTGAAACAGAGGGTTTGGAAGATAAGAAAATAAACCTCCCAGCCCCTGGGGGAGAGAGCAGTTGTGAACTGGGCAAGGAGATCAGTCCTGCAGACCTGGCATATATGACTGACTCTAAGAAGACCAACAGGTCAGCCATCCCTGGGTTTCCCTAGTAGTCTGACCCTTGAGAACCGTTCCCCATTGATTCTCTCCACTCAAAATGTAATTGCTTTTCCAAAACAAAAGTCTGTTTGGGGCAGCAGGGTCTGCACCGCTGGTGCCAGGTACTGCTGGTCTGTAGGCACTCTGGTATCTACTTCTACTCTGCTTTCTGTTGAAAGTAGGGCACTCATTATCTGCATGAGCACTTGTTAGACATTTGGGATCAGACTTCATGGATAGCTTGCTGCATTTCTTACTGAAACATTTTGCACTGCCGGAGTACCTCCGGGGTGAGAAGTATGTAGTTTAAATGCAACTAAGAAGATTGGGAACTGCAGGTCATTTAGAGTCATGGAATCATAGACTCATAGAATTATTAGAGTTGGAAGGGACCTTAAAGATCATCGAGTTCCAACCCCCCTGCCCTGGGCAGGGACACCTCCCACCAGACCAGGTTGCTCAAAGCTCCATCCAGCCTGGCCTTGAACCCCTCCAGGGATGGGGTATCCATGGCTACTCGAGGCAACGTGTTCCCGTGCCTCACTACCCTCACAGTAAAGAATTTCTTTTAGTACTTAATGTAAACCTCCCCTCTTTCAGTTTAAAACTATTAGCCCTCACCCTATGGCTCCACTCCCTGATCAAGAGTCCAGCTTGCCTGTAGGCCTACTTTAGGTACTGGAAGGCTGCTATAAGGTCTCCCTGGAGCCTTCTCTTCTCCAGGCTGAACAACCCTAACTCTCTCAGCCTGTTCTTACAGCAGAGGGACTCCAGCCCTCAGAGCATCTTTGTGGACCTCCTCTGTACCTGTTCCAACAGGTCCATGTCCTTTCTGTGCTGAGGACTCCAGAGCAGGATGCAGTACTCAAAAGAGCAGAGTAGAAGGGTAGAATCACCTCCCTCAACCTGCTGGCCACACTTCTTTTGATGCAGCCCAGGATGCAGTTGGCGCTCTGGGCTGCAAACACACGTTGCTGGCTCATGTTGAGCTTTTCATCCACCAACACCCCTAAGTCCTTCTCCTAAGGGCCACTCTCAACTTTTCACAGATGCAGGCAGAAAACTAACAGGGACAATGGAAATAGTCCTAGGCTTAACCAATATTTATCCCATAGGCACGGGAAGCAACACTGGCCTGTGGTTGAGAGCATGAGCTTGGAAAGCTTTTCCATCCAGACGGATAGCCAGTCAGCTGCCCAGCTTGCCCGGACACAAAAGCTGGCTTTGTTGAAACTCACTGCTCTAATGGACAGATACTCCCCTTCCAGCAAGCAGGGATGGAACTGGTAAGTTCTCTAATACTAAAGCAACCTGTGTTGGAAAGAGGATTCAGTGTGAGCAGGTGAATTTTCTTGTCTGCCCCACTTACACCTGTCCAAGATGAGGAATTTCATCCTGTTAACTCACTGGCAGTTTCATGGTTATTTCAATGGCTCCGGGATTTCCTCTGCTATGGACTGCACTTTTGCTCCTTGCTGGTGGTAATGTAACAACAGATTGTAAAGCACATTCTAGTTTTTCTCTAAATTTGCCTGTTTGCAGGGCTTTGTCCTTCACAGGACCTGAGGTGAGAGCTGGCTGGGCTGAGAATCCATCTCAGCATCAAGTCTCAGTTAGAACTAAAATAACGACAAAGTCAGGCACTCAGGGGACTTAGGAATATCATTTGGCATCTTGTGATAGGGATCTAATACCTGAATATAGAAAGAAGTGAAAAAAGCCTGCAGTGTCCTAAAGGGATGTAGCGTATGTCACATGAGGTTGCTTTATTAGATCGTTTCAGTTTTGAAATGAGGAAGTCATTCCTGTAATTGCCCTTCAGGATTTTCTGTCTATCTTATGATGCTGTGTGTACAGGTATGTGGCAGAGTTTGGGGTTGTGGCAAGTATAACTCAATCCTTTCCCATGCTTCTAACTAAAGCAGCAGACGGGATTGTGCTGAAGAGCTGATCAGTTGCATTCACTGGTTTTTGTTTTCAGGACTATACCAAAGTTCATAAAAAAATTTAAAGCCTCTGACTACAAGGACAAAAATGTGTTTGGCGTTCCTTTGCTTCTGAATGTTCAGCGAACAAGCCACCCACTGCCTAATGGTATCCTGCAAGCACTGGACTATTTGAGAAGCCACTATCTTGACCAGGTATGAACTTGAGGCAGCTCTGTTCCGTAAGTGGTTCTGCCCCTGGGAACCAGTCTCTGCTTCCAGCTTTTGTGAGGGACTTTTACTTCCTAATGTCTAGATCTGAGCAGGTGCTGTTTCCTTCTGGGAATACCTTCAGACCTGTCTTGTATTTTTGTACCTTGCCACACTGAAATCATCTGCAGCCAGTTCTCTCGGTGCGGGCAGTCAAGCTGTCTTCTCCTGGTGAGGCAGCATGTCTCTGCTCCCTGAGGAAGTGTATCTACTACACAATGTCATTATTCCCTCTGTTCTGTGGTTGCTGGTAGTGCCTGAGCTAATGTGATAATCAGTCTTGTTTCAGCTGAAAGGTACCACTAAGTAGAGATAAAACATATTAAAGCAGTGCCTGTAACATCTTTTTCTGACTCTCAAATCCGTATTTATCCACTAAGTGGAGATGTGTGCATGGTGGTGAAAGTGTGTGTTGCATCTGCTATCTCTATAGCATAGGAGCAGAAATAGGAGACCCCATCACACATCAGTTAAGGAAAGGACTTTGTTTTCCTATGCTTTGCAACTGTGCAGGTGTGTAATATTACGCACAAATATAGTACAAATGTGTGCACAAAATGTTACAGCGCAGTTTGGTGGCACATACTGGAATGTGAGCAGACAGTTTCTTGTGAAAGCAGTGTTTTTTCTTTTGAGGTCATTGTATCTATTCAGTTAATATAAATAAACTAATGAATGTAAATACTCTTAGTGGCACACAGTGAAATGTTCAGCAGAAGCTTTGTTGGTGTCGAGTTCATGGGAAACCTCTAAGTTTTCTCTGAAGCTGAATTGACATTCATATTAAAAATAAAATCATAATTTCCCTCAGAATGGCAATAGCCCTTTGCCAACCTACAGAAGTATTAGATGGATCAGATGGATCACATGTTAATGTGATCTCTGTGAGATCCTCTGACGTGGAGTGTTTGCTTTCTATAGCATGGGCATCAATCTACATTTGCTTTTGGGTGAGCACACGTTTGTGCACTAGAAACTTGCAGTTCTAATGTATGAACACAGCCTGCTCAAGCAAACTGACAGATGTCAACACTAATCATTTTAAAAGTCAAAAATAGTAACTTTGCATTAAAGAAAAAACAAACAAACAAACATGGAAACTAACATGTCTCTCACAGCTGGTTCTGTGGGCATCAGTCATGGTTTGCCTGGGAGGAATATCCATGCTGCTTCTAATGATACAAAAATGTTTTGGTGTTAGATCCCACTGCCATAGGGTCTAAGTTATCAAAAGGAAAGTGAAGAATCAGTTATTTGTCAGAGCTTTGATTCCTCTCTTTGTCTTTAATATTCTCTTCTACCCGCAGGTTGGCTTGTTCCGAAAATCTGGTGTTAAATCCAGAATTCTGTCTTTAAGAGAAATGAATGAAACCAGCCCACACAATGTATGTTACGAAGGGCAGTCAGCATTTGATGTGGCTGATATGGTGAAGCAGTATTTCCGAGACCTTCCCGAGCCTATATTTACCAGCAGGCTCTGTGAATCCTTCCTCCACATCTACCAATGTAGGTAACAAAAGCTATAGTTTTCTAGTTCCTTGAATATCTCAATATTCAGCTGTACAAGGCAGTGGTCAAACTAGGACTAATGCCGTGTCCCCCCCGTAGTCAGAGGAGACCAGTCAGGCAGGACGTTTCTGGAAAGGTGAGTTCATTGTGGCTCGGGACTTTGGAGCTTCACGTCTGCATCCTATGGGCCAGCTATTTTCTAACATTGTGTCTTTTCTGTTCTTTGAAGGATGAGTGTAATAACATATGTTGTGGCAGCCCTCTTAGTTGGTTATTTCCTCATGAAATTAAGAATCTAGTCCCCTTGTTCATGGTATGAAGTAGCTCCTTGTGCAAGAAGTCATGTTCTATTGATGAAATTTCTTTATTAAGGTGCCCGAGAACAGTTGCTGTGAAACGGCATCTTTGCCTGGAAACCTTCTGTGTGTGCTCTCACAGCAACACAACCTTAAGTAAAAAGGAAATGCGAAGCTGAAATCTATCAATGAATATAATTTTAAGTGGGTTCCATCCTGAGTGCTTTGCCCTCAAGGAACCTATTTTCAAAAAGCAGCTGGGTTGAGGAAGGAACTTGCTGTAGGGGCTTATGACGATGGTGCTACAGGCAAGTTTCTTTCAGAGAAGGTTTTGAAAGTCAAAGTATGAGCTATCAGAGTGACTAGAAACAGGATAGGTTTCAGCCTGTTTTATGTGACTTTTATTGACATGAGTACATGAGCTGCTGCTGTCTTGTGTATGGTGTAAGCTCACCAAAGTTTGCTTGGGTTTTATTTTTTAACCCATCAGGCTTTTAGAATTTTGTCTGAAAATGGTCGATTTGTTCGAAGCAAGTTTCCATTTTGCACCCACAAATTCTTTGTGTAAGGAGGCCTGCAATTCCTATGTCCAATGGATGTGCAACCCTTTTCTTCCATTTATCATAACCTGGCCACTGTCCACCTCCCATTTCTTGTTTTGGGATAGAAACAGCAAATGACTGAATTATCCTACTCTTGTGCTGCATGTGACTTAAGCAAGTGCCCAGATTAAACTACTATCTTTTGGAGATAAGAAATGTGCTGCTTTCACCCAGAAGCGCGGTTTGACTGTTCTGTGCATGTGCATCTACTTGAAGGGAAAGAGACGTGGTGTAGATTGGAGACATCCTGATGATAGGGGGATGCGTGGCAGGATGAACATACCTGCTCTCCTGCAGGAGCTGTTTGGGCACACAGTATCTCTGGCTTTCAGTGTGAATTCAAATCTGTTGGCAAAAATGTTGTTCTGTCTATTGAGTTAACTGAGAGCATCTGTTCTCATCATGCCAGAAGCTGAAAGGAAAAGACAGTAGAGTAGCTGTATCTGCTCCAAAGGATCATTGCAGAGTACTGTTTTATGGGGAAACAAGCCCTTATTTGGATAGCCAGTTTAGGATAAGTTCATTAGCATGGTCTTCAAGATAAATTACAAATCAAGCACCAGCATCACTGGGTGTGAAATTGCATCTTGACAGGAACAGGAGAAAACTGTCCTTGTATGATGTGACTGTGATAATGGCCTTTGCGTTGCCTATTATGAGCTGGACTGACAGGAAAATGGATGAACCTACAGTTTCAACACCCTGCTTGGGACTCTGTTGATGGATGCTTCCTCTGCGAGTCACGTGTGGTTTTCATCGTATTTTCTCTTTTCAGACGTGCCAAAGGATCAGCAGTTCCAGGCTGTCCAGGCTGCTATTCTCCTTCTCCCAAAGGAAAACCGAGAAGCTTTGAAAATCCTCCTGTTCTTTCTGCGAGATGTGGTTGCTTTTGTTGAGGAGAACCAGATGACCCCAACCAACATTGCTGTCTGTCTTGCACCTTCTTTGTTTCACCTCAACACCCTGAGACGGGATAGTTCCTCCTCCTCCACTAGGTATTGCCATCTGAAGGCCGGCATTGCTGCTGTCCCTAGTGTTCTTTGCTGGAACAGTGCTTTCTGTAGCTGGCCTGGGATCAGTGTCTGCTTTTAAGGGGGAAGTAGTGTATGTGTCTTGGGGTTTGTCTCAAATAGTTGTTCAGGTCCAGGGAAGTTGAGTCACCATCCCTGGAGATATTTAAATGACATAGCGCTGGGGGACATGGTTGAGTGGTAACATGGCAGTGCTAGGTTAGCAGCTGGACTTGGTGATCTTGAAGGTCTCTTCACACTACAAAGATTCTGATTCTGTGACCACTGTGCGTGGAGTAATCCAGCAGCTCATTGTCCAGTGTAGAGAACAGTGGTAAGGCCTCGCTGTCATGCCCCCGACTGGTCTGCATGTGAGCTAGCCTGCCTGCCTCACCACTGCTGCACTCTTTGTGGTTGCCCACAGGTCCAGCTGCCCAGGAGTCCTGCATGTGGCCCATTGTTTGCTTTAAGGTGCTGTTGGCCTTAAATGTAGCTCCTGCACTGGCAGCCTAAGCCCAGGTGCAGCTTGAAGGCCCTGCAGACAACTGGCAGACTGTAGCAGTTGCTGGCACTAGTTCTGCTGGGTGATAAAGGGATGGCTCCTGCCAAACCAAGCCACAGGGATTCTGTAAATTTATCTTAATAAGTAAAAGTATCTGGGTTGCATAACATCCCCTGTTTGTACGTGCAGGGAGGAAGGTGCCCTTGGGCCAAAGTAGACAAATAATCTCTGAGAGCATTCATGTCTTATCTGGTCTCCTGAGGCAGGGCTGTTTGCTTTACTCCATGCTCCTGTGTATGGACAGACACGTATCAGGGTAGAAAAGGACAGCTCTGTGATGGAGACATTGCGCACCCATCAGAGTAGGGAGCGCATCTCCTCACAAGGGGAGCTGAGGATGAGGAGCAGTTCCAAAGCAGAAGCTGTCGGGTGTGCTATCGGTGTCTTTCAGGATAACAGCACAGGCTCTGGGTAGCACAGGGAGGGGAAAGAAAACACTAAGGACTGTTCTTTTGAGTGGCACAACACATCCAAAAATGCCTAAAAGTGTAACGAGAGGCTGGGGCTGCCCAGCTCTCCCTGGGCTGAGCCAGCACATGGCCAGGGAGTGGGGGATGCGATGGAGCTGGAGTGGCAGCAGGTCCTTCCTGGATTGCAGTTGTGTTTGAGCTCCTGGGAGACATACTTTGAGGGTTGTGCCTCTTTGGTTTACATAAATGTTATTCTCAAATGCTAGGACCAAAAATAGAAATGGAGTTTTCTCTTTGTTGTCACTGTTTAGAAGCGAGGAAGCTTTGAAGCTTTAGCTTTTGTGTAACTGGGCATTAATGCCATAGTGCAGGGTTCTGACTTCAAAGGGCAGAAGCTGACAGGTCTGACTTTGAGGAGCAGAGCTGAGGACTCTTATCTTCCACCCAATTTTCAAGCCATTTGGCAGGCATGCACACAGATAAAAGTATCAGAAGCCAGGATTAATGATGTCATATAATGATTATGAATTAAAAGCGAGGACTGGTTTTGAAATGTTTGGTGTGGTTTGGGCCAAAGGATTTAAAAGATTCTGCATAGGCTTTGCAGGGTATCAAAGGAGCTTGATATTTGAAGGCTACGCACAAATCAGTTTGGGGTCATAGCTGTCTTTGGGGAATAAAAAGCCTCGCCTTGCCTTTCTTGGACATACGTTACTAGTGGTCAGTAGTGTCCTGGGCCCTTTCAGGGTGTGCTGGGAGGGAATGCTGTCTATGGATCTCACTGCAGTAACACTTTATGGGCACGGAAGGTTCTGTCAGTGCAGTGTGTTTTTGCTGAAGGTGCTGGTTTCCAGCCCCCAGGCACGTTGTACCTCTGGTTCACAGCATCTTGCTCACACAGCCTTCTGCCTTCCCCTCTCCGTAGGTCCAGCCAGAGGAAGTGCAGCTTGGGGAAGCCAGACCAGAGGGAGCTGAATGAGAACCTGGCAGCAACACAAGGCTTGGCCCACATGATAATGGAGTGCAACAGACTCTTCCAGGTACGTCACTTGCGGTAGCCAAGCACGAGCATGGAGCAGGGTGAGGGGTGTTCCCACACTGGCCAAACCCTGAGCATTCTGATGGCCTGTGTTGAGCAGCAGTTTGGGGCAGAGCCCTGCAGAGGTCCCTGCCAGCCCAGCTGAGCCTGTGATGGCTGTGAGTCCTGCTGACTCCAGTATAGAGAAAATTAACGTCACTGCAGATTTTACTGCAACTATTTGTAAGGGTTGTGAGAGCATTCCTCCATTTCTCCCTCCAACCCCCAACTGCTGGGGTGGGTTGACTCCCTGGGCTTGGGACCAGCTTAGGGAGTACCTGTGGGGCCATGGCTGCCGTATGCTCCTGCATATGCCAGGGCCAACCATCCCTTCTTGTGGAAGTGTTTAAAAAAAAAAAAAAACCCTCAAAAAATTGAGGTTTTACTGCTGGGTCCTGGCCAGAACAACAGCCGTGCCTGTGCCATGGGCCCCAGTAATCTGGACCTGGACTTTGACCCACAGACTGACTTCCCGGCTTGATCTCGGCCTTTCCTCTTCATGGTGGACCTGCCTGGCGATCACTAGACTGTGGCTGACCCTGGTTGCTGTCACTGGACCTGATCCTGCCCCCTCTTTGCTGGCTCACCTTCCTGGCTCAACCTCGGACCGCATCACCATGGATGTGGCTAATGACCTGGACTCTTGGCTGACCCTGGCTGCCATCTCTGGCCCGGCTCAGGTACTGTGGGGCCGGGTGGCTGCCTGCCAGCCCTGTTAGACCGCTGGACTCCCAGCCCCTTTCCCCTTGGAAGCCACCAGCCCTTGTTGCATTCAGCTGGGGCCTTCTCGCAGTCTGCTCCAGCACCGTGGCTGGGCTGGGGCCACACTCCCATGGCTCCCCTGAAGGCACCCGTGGTCCTAACCCAAGGGCCCTCTAGCACTGACCCCCCTACAACCAGCCCCTTGCTTCTGAGTGACACCCACCCCCCCAGCTCATCTCTCCATGGCACCAAACCCTAACCTGGCCCTGGCTCCTAAGCGATCCCTCCACCCCCAGCCCAACCTCTGTCCCCATTTCCTCAGTGGTGGCCTGAACCCCTCTGTCCAGCCCCTCGGGGTGCCCTGACGCCTGCTGCCTGTCCCATACCCCATACCCTGGCCACATGGAAGCTGGCCTTGTCCCTAGCTGCATGGCTCCCCCCAAAATAGCCCCGCAGGGACTCTGAGCTGCCCTTGGACCTGCGGACACCCTGCACGCTCCTGCTACAACCAGGGTTCTTCACAAGCATCGCTGACACCAGGCTGTGAGCTGTGGGGCTGCCCCTCACCATGGGGTGCTGGGGCCATGCCCTGCTGGTACCCAGGGACCGCCTGAAGAGAGCCCTCGCTGTCCTCCTTCTGCTGGAGACCTGGAGGAAAGGCCGCAGGCAGCTTGGCTGGGTGGCCTTGGCCATGCCTGTGCTGGACATGCACCCACTGCTCCAGAACTGGACTCTGACACTTGTCCTCGCCTGGTCACTGTGGCCATCGCTGGGCATCGCTGGACTGCAGCCAACGCCGTTACGACCACCAACCCTGACCCCGCCTGGCCTCAGCACTGATGGATGAACCTGCGACCGGCACTCTCGGTTTGTCCACCACTGCCACTCCTGGGCTTGGCCTGCGTCTCCCTCAGGTACAGTGGGAAGGGGTCCTGGGTGCTGAGGTGCTGCCCAGCCTTACCATAGACTCATAGAATGGTTTGGGTTGGAAGGGACCTTAAAGATCATCTAGTTCCAACCCCCCTGCCCTGGGCAGGGACACCTCACACTAGACCAGGTTGCTCAAAGCCCCATCCAGCTTTGGGCATCCATCCAGCCTGGCCTCCAGGGATGGGGCATCCACAACGTCACTGGGCAACCTGTCCCAGTGTCTCACCACCCTCACAGTAAATAATTTCTTTGTAAGATCTAATGTAAATTTCCCCTCTTTCAGTTTAAAACTGTTGCCCCTTACCCTATCACTCCCCTCCCTGATAAGGAGTCCCTCCCCAGCTTTCCTGTAGCCCCTTTAGGGACTGGAAGGGGCTCTAAGGGCTCCCTGGAGCATCCTCTTCTCCAGGCTGAACAACCCCAACTCTCTCAGCCTGTTCTCACAGCAAAGGGGCTCCAGCCCTTGGAGCATTTTTGAGGCCCTCCTCTGGACCTGTTCCAACAGGTCCATGTCCTTTCTCTGCTGAGGGCTCCAGAGCTGGGTGCAGTACTCCAGGTGGGGCTCTCACCAGAGCAGAGGGGCAGAACCACCTCCCTGGACGTGCTGGCCACAGCCTGCACTCGTGGTACTGTGCTCAGCGCCCCAGCCTTGCTGATCCCTGACTGCATGGTGGGTACCCAGAGGGGCCTGGCCCTCCTGCCTGTGCCCGGCCCAGCCTTGGGAGTAGGGAGAGCACGGCCACAGTACTGGTGCACGCAGAGATGGTCGGGTAGCACAGTATGTGGGGTGGGCAGTTGGCGAAGCCCCCAGCACACATGGCTGTCACGCTGCTGCCAGTGCTGGTTTTGTCCAAGGGCATTGCTCAGCCAGCCGTCAGGAGTGCATGTTTGCCCCAATGTGGCTAGTTAAAGTGCCAGACCCATGCCCAGCAGGTGCCAGGCACTGTCTAGCTCTTACAGCTGAGCCCTCCCCACCATTTGGGTAAGAACCTGGGATATCAGATAAATATGTATGTGTATCTTTTCTATCTGTATACAGAGCTGTATGTTTATGGAGATGTACACACACACGCGCTTATGTCACCGAACACCTAAATCAAATGCAACACGTGCACTCTCATGGTTTAAAGCCTCATTTCTGTGCTGCTTCACCTCACACAGCAGAGCTCCCGACAAATCCCAAAGCAAAGGCAGGAGACACAGCCCACTGCCTTGTAGCTGGCCTTGTGATTACTCTAGATCGATACGTGCCCAGCTGAGGCTTGCCAGGTCTGCAGGGATTCAAAACATCGCTGGTGCAGGGAAAGGCATTTCCCCTGTGTCGTCCTCTGAGGAAATGTAGTTAATTGATCAACTCCTCCAGGTAGAACCGCTGCCTGCACCAACACTGCTGGCAGCTGATGGTGCTACTCCCACAGCGTGCAGCCTAACACCGCCATGCTGGGGAAGCCACCCCCTTTTGAGGGCTGGTACAGACCCCCCACACAGGGCACTGATGCAGGCATGTGTTTTGTGTGTATTTTCGCTTGTAGGTGGCACACCCCACAGCCTGGACTCCATCGTCCTGTGTGTTACATCAATGTTTGGTCCTTGAGTGTGATGTTTGATCTCTTTTGCAGGTACCCGGCTGCTGCCTTGACCCGCTCACTAACGACGTCCCTGAGACAAGCATCCTGAGCACTGGGGCCTCGCGCTGCTGGGCTGGGAGGAGACTGCTCGGCTCCCTTGAGAGCTCTCTGCTCTGCTGAGAGATGCCAGAGATGACATCAAAAGCTGGGTGATCTGCTCACACCTGGCAAATAAGGTAAAGAGGATGGTGGGAGTTACCAGGGTAAGGTTGGCTCTGGGAGTATGGGTGACTGTATTCTGGCTGGAGGGCTTACTGGAGGGGTTCTGGGTTCTCAGCCCTTGAACTCTTCAGACTGAAGGACCTAAGCCTGTGGGATTTGGTTCTTGCACAGAGAATTGCTCTGAGCTGTGCCCATGACCCCCCTTGTCCTTGTATCTGCAGCTTCTGAACCCATGCTCCTGTTCCCTCCCTCCCTTCCTTTCTCTCCTAGAGGGGGTGCTGCTCCTCTGCAGCATCTTCCCTTACTGCAACTCTACCCCAACAGACACAGACACCTCCAGTTGTTTAGTCCCTTTATTGTCACCCCGCAGGGCACAGCTACATCCGCTGCACTGGCTTAATCCCCAGGATGTCGAATCCTTTGGCCATGACGGTGGCAGTGGCTTCGCACAGCAGCAGCCTCCACATGTTCACCTTCACGATCTGGCCTGCAAAACACCAACAGAGGAGCTGGAGCAGCTGCTCAGAACAATTAATGCCGCCTTCCCCCGAGGAACCCCATCTGCCCACAGTGTGCTGGGCACACTGACCCCCTCCCGTTCTCCCCAGGCCAGGCAGAGTGACCAGCCCTCGCCTTTCCAGCTGCCTGGTTGCTCGCAACTCTCTGCTCAACCCTCCTGCTTCACAGGCAGATGATGACACAGGCTGTGCCAGACACCATCAGTCCTCCCACATGGACCACACTTGTTCTGCAGCAGCAAGCAGCGTGACAACGGCCTTCCCAGCAGAGGGAAACACCCCACGGGTTGCCTGTACCATGGCATATGACACAGGCACACACAGCCTCCCTAGGCCAACACTCACCACTCTGCCTGTCTTTCTCAACGCAGTAGCAGTTGTCGTAGAACTCGGTGAAGGTGGTGGCCAGCTCATAGAGGTAGTCACAGAGTGTGTGCAATAACAAGTCCTCCAGGATCTTCTGCAGGATCTCAGGGAACCTCAGGATGCACTTGCCCAGTTTCCACTCCTTCTCATGGTCAAGGATGACCACCTCCTCCCTGGCTGCCTTCCGCAGCATCTGCTCATCAATGTTGGCCAGGCGAGCAATAGCCCTGAAATGGTCCAAAACACAGTCTGCTTGTGAGGGTCCCACTGCTGAACCTGCCCTATGGCCAGCACGGGCCACCTGGGCCACTTGCTCAGTCCTGGGTTGCCAGGAGAGCAATCAGCCCTGGGGACGCATGGGGAGGTGCTGCCCTTGGAGGGATCCACCAGGGCACTGCAGGGGAACAGGGAGGGATGTGCTGTGGGCACACACGTGGGCAAGGACAGCCAATGCTGCCCAGCAAACCAGGGCTCAGGGTGCCAGAAAAACCATGCGGGGTACGGTGGCACCTGAGGTGAGCAGCTGCTGGAACACAGGCTCACCCTTCTCCAACCACCCAAAACCTCTAAGGAAATTACCAGAAACTCCCCCAGTTCTCTCCCTGCTAGCTAAAAGCCCAGGAAGCGTGTCGCACAGAGGAGCCCTCTTTCGGGCAGCACAGGACACCATTTCCAATGACAAATAAAATCTTGCTCAGTGTAGCTGGTTTCTCTCACCAACTACCCCAGCCAGCCTCCCTGCTAGCTAAAAACCCAGGAAGCGTGTCGCACAGAGGAGCAGGCAGCACAGGACACCATTTCCAATGACAAATAAAATCTTGCTCAGTGTAGCTGGTTTCTCTCACCAACTACCCCAGCCAGCACTCACCCCTTCCCCCATATCTCCCTTTGCAATAAAGATGCAGAGAGCATCAGAGACCAACCCCAGGTGAGTCCTGGCACACTCAACCCACCTGATGCGCGTCACATTTCCCTTTGCAATAAAGATGCAGAGAGCACCAGAGACCAACCCCAGGTGACTCCTGGCACACTCAACCCACCTGATGCGCGTGAAGGCGTACAGCAAGTACGCAGCGGTGTTTCCTCGGTCATCCAGCATCTTGTCAAAGGAGAACACGTAATCGTTTAGTCTGTTGTGGGAGAGATCTGCGTATTTAATACAGCCAAAAGCGACTGACGTCTGGGCAGCTTTCAGCTCTTCTTCTGTGAGAACCTGTTGCAATTTCAAAACAGGTAACAGTCATGAGGAAGAACACTACGTTGGCATCACAGACCGCAACAGGCAGCCTTGGCCACTCAGCATGGCTCGAGAGCAAAGCCCAGGCTGCTGAGGGGATTTTACCCACGGGGCTCACACTCACATTTCCACCTTGAGACACCAGATAACCCCATATTCAGCCCTCACTTCGCTGGCAATCAAATGGCACCACAGCCCTGCGCAGGCTAAGGCTGACTCCATCTACTCCTGAAAGGCTGCAGGACTTCTGTGCCCCATGATGCCATACAGGTTTGATGCTCATACTCTGCTCCTGCTCCTTACAAACTGTGCACACACAACATGAACACTTGGCCCTCCTACCCTTACAAAGCATTTGGACAGTCCAAATGCTCACAGAACCTCTCTCTAATGGAACAGTGCCCTGTCATCACAGCAAAGCACTTTGTGTCTGACTCACTCATATGAGCCTTTGGGAGATTTTCAAGGTGTTTTTTTTCTGTGCTTCCTCATGTTCCTCTTTAAAAAGGGACCTTTCACTTTCACCCCATGCTGCACAGCACCAAGGAGCTGCACCTCCCAATTCCACTGCCTCACACAATGCTTGGACACAGTTTGGTCCTTCTGGTTCCATTACATGTCCCACACTGTCCAGTTCTCTCCAGGCCATCAGGATCCAAGACGGACAGAAATCTCATTAACCAATCTTACCAAATCTTGCAGCAAACTCAGCCACAGCACCCAAGGGAAAGGGGGAAGCCTGATGCCAAGCCCCCTGCAGCCATCCATCACCAGAAGTCACCTCCAACCCAGAAGGCCAAAGCTGCAACTTTATATTCTACCACCACCTCCTGCATCCTGGGGAAATCACCATTGCTGCCATCACACCAGTGAGACCTGATGATACCTGTAAGGCCAGCTACCCTGCCAGGCCCAGTTCTCCTCCCCGTCCTCAAGAAGATCTGCAGTACCAGCCAGAGGCCAGAGTGCTGCCCAAAGCTCACATTTTCTCACTTCTCAGGGATGACCTTCTTTCCTTGCCCAAACTGCTATCAAATAATCACACTCATTGTGTACACAACTCACAGCACCTCCTGGGCGCTTTGGCTGTCCATATTCTCAGCTCACATCCAGAATGCGGAAACCATAAGTCTGTGAACAAATCTGGGAAGTTCTCAGGAAAGATCTAAGCAATTTGTCACACCTACCTTATCCCGTTCCTTGTCTTTCAGCTTGTCCATGGCTCGTTTCAGCCCTTCTTCCAGCAGATCTATGAGACGCACTGTATCCCCTGAACGAGTTTTGAACTTCTTCCTGAAAACACACAGCCAAAATGACCACCTGCAGAAGAGGCAAAACACTCCCACAAAACATGGGAATCTCAGAGAACACCCATGAGGTGGCCGGGAGAGGTGACCAGGAAGGCTCCAACAGTCAGAACCATCCCAGTTCCAGACATTAGGTGGGACACGATACCAGTGCCAGACCCCTGCCCAGCCCAGTAAGCCAACTCTGCTTTTGTAACAAAGCTACAGCAAAACCACCCAGTCTGCAAAGCGCACTGGTTTAACCAACACCTTCACAGAGACACAGAACAGTGCTGGAGCACAAGGCTTACAGACCAGGACACAGAGGTTCTTTTCTCAGTGTTCATTTCATCCACCATGAGGCAGGTAGACAATAATGAAAATCATGGCTTTTACTGTTGCCATCTACCAGTATTCCCATCAGCTTCCTCTGAACTTCCACCAGCCATTCCCAATGTCTCTCCCCAAATGCCAGGCAGCAGAAGCCAGGTCCAAGAAGGAACCTGACCACAGCACCAATGACTATGTGGAACAAGGACCGTGTTATGCTCTTCAGAGCATATACAGAGGAAAAACTACATCCAAAGACTTACTTGTCTTCTCCCAGCACCACTCCGAATGCGGCATGGGCCACTCTGGTTACTTTGGGATCATACCAGCCGATCATCTGTCCAGCTGCAAACACCGTTTGTAAGTGCACCGACTGCAAGGAACAAATACCAACAACTGATTCTCAACCCGTTCCTCCAGGTATAGTTTTCTTCCCAGTTTTATCTCCTTCACAATGAGACTTAAAATGTTTCTAGCTTCACCGAAAGTGAAGTTCAACCTGTCAAAGAGTTGTCTTGGAGTAGCAACCAGCAAATTCCCATCACTCCTCACATTCAGAGCTGACAACCTTGCACTTTCTCAGGTAAGGAGAGACCCAAGTATAAGCAGTACAAATCTCACTCAAGATCTACTGAGATTTAGCCTTCACCCACCTCCAGTCATAACTGAGTCTCTCCCTAATCAATCAGTTCTAGGTGCTCTTCATGGAGACCATCAGCCACCAAACTAGATTCACCATTACTCTGATAAGGGCAAGAGTAATTGTACCACACTAAAAACCCTATGGCTTCTCCCTGTGTTACTGTTGTATCTGTCATTTAACACACTTACTGATGATCTGTACCAGCAGTGCCAGCAGAGGTTGGGGTACTCACCTGGCCACTATCGACAACATAAATAAGGATATCGCCCTTCTCTTCGCACAGCCTGTGTTTAAGAGCAGCTAAGTCAGACGTGTCGTATGTGTAACCGCCGTCTGATTTCATGATCGTCAACGGGACAGGGAAACCTGGGACAAACACGATCTTCCGGCCGTCATCGACCTGGACAAATCCTAGAAAAGCAATGGAAAACATTCTGTGCTGTACCGAATGGGGAGCTCTGGGGGCCAGCACAGGCAGAAACACTTGCCTAACTTGACGCTACCAGAAAGAAAAGGCCACGCACTCACATTATCAAATAATTAGTGGCTCAAAATATGAAAAAACCTAAAAGAGAACTCCCTTGCCAACCAAGTCACATTCTGTACTCCACTTCTAGAACTCAGACTACACACAAGGAAGCTAATCTGTACAGATCTGGCCTTACCAAAGAGACAAAATTGGATCTCCTGTCACTGGCATCCAGATCCACCTTTATAGCCACAAAAAAAGCATCAGAAAGTATGGCATTAAAGGCAACAGGAACTCTACAGAGATGCAGTGAGGACTTAACACAAAGTCTTTCAGAGATAAGGCTAGTCTGAATCCTTCAGATGCTGAGATTCGACAACTGCCAAATCCAGACAAGAAACACATAAAACCAGAGACTTGTCATGCTTCTATTTGGCTTCTTGCCAGGCTCAAAGTCAACAGGATCCAAAAATGCCACCATCTTCACAGATATTTCTCAAAGTTCCCTGTCCCTGCGCAGGCATAACACTAAAACCGGGGAGCCTGTCATATATCACTGCTTGACTAAGAATAAAATAAAATCCAGTAGAACCTCATGCTATTTTGCCTACAAATCTCAGAGACAAACTGCTTTTGGTGTCAGCAAGAAAAACTCAAGCTTTCCGGAATGAAACATGCAAGAATCAATTCTGCTAATGCTTCTTTGGGAGAAAACACCACAAAAGATCCATTTAGGGAATGTGGCTGAGAAAAAGAGCAGGGGTGGGGAACATGCACTCCAAAAACACTAGTCCTAAGTCTTGCTCAAGAGCAGTGAGGTTGCCTCGCTCATCCTGACAGCTGCAGAATTTCTGACTCTGAGACCAAAAGCCTCACCTTTATCTTCAAATTCTTTCACAATGTCTTTCATCATGTCGTGGTAGAACGATTCTCCTCTCTCTATGAGTGTGATGTCCAAGCAGTTGTAGATTTTCTGGAACTCTTGAGGAAGGAAACAGAACAAAATACTTCCATTAAATGCAAACAGAGGGAATTAATGGCACATGTTTATCAATAGGCACAGCAAGTCCCTAAAGGCATTTTCCGTCTTGGTGAAGCCATCAGACTAAGACTTGAGAGGTAAAAGATTTAGGTGAAAGCCTCCACAGGCAGCCCAGTACTTTGGTTGCATCAGCTTTTTTCTTTAAGCTTCTCACAGCAGTGCAGCAGTGATTTTCAACAGAAAACTAGAGGATGGGCTCAAACATAAAGGTGAGGAAAGCCACACTGTTCTAGTGCCAAGACACGCTTCTGGATCTGGCAAAGTCACCTTTCCGCGACACGTCACAGATCAGTTCCCATGCTTTGATGAAGTCTGGGTTTTTGCTCTGCAGCAGCACCACACATTGGTAGGCACGTTTCTTAAATTCCTCCTCAGTGTCAAACCTCCTCTTGGATTCCTACAGTAAAACACACCACATGAAAATGCACCTTTTTCTCCCCTGAAACAAGCTAACATTCATAACAGGCTCTCCAAGCACACTCAACCCAAAAGCCAGAGAGGCAGCACACTTACAAAGTCCTTTAATCATGCCCCATACAGACAACTCAATACCAGATACTGATATTAATTACCCAGTGGCAGGCTACTGCAATAATCTATTAACAGTGATTAAATTATTTTGTTTCTCCAAGATTCTGCTGCAATTTGAAAAGCTCTTCAATCTGCTTTTCAGATGTTGACATAAATATCACACTTATTTGCTACAAATACCTTGTAAAAAGCTTGGAGATCCCCAATGGGAGGAGAAACAGTTAAGTAATCTGGAAACTTGTCTTGGAGATGAGCAATGAGCATTCCAAACTGGGTGCCCCAATCTCCTAAATGGTTTAACCTTGAAGCAATCGAAGAGCATAATAATAATGAATTCTCAAACATATGCTTTAAAATACACGCATTTTAAAAATATATATTCTGAAAGAAGAACCACACATAATATCAGAAACCAAAACCAGGCAAGCCCCCTGCAATTTCACTTCAATAAAGCTGCTGCCCATCTTGATTCCTGAATCTGCTATACTTGCTCAGCTTAGTATCTTACTAAACATAACTGATTATTTGTTATGTGCTTATAAAAAAACAAACAACAATACAGACCAAAGCATGCCAAACAAGCCCACCCCACCCAAAAGTCGATTCTCACCTCAAAACATCATAACCTGCAAATTCAAACAGTCGGCACATGCTTTCTCCAATGATGGTAGACCGCAGGTGGCCAACATGCATCTCCTTTGCAATGTTTGGGGATGAAAAATCCACCACCACCTTACACAGTACCAAAGGAAAAAATGAATAAAAGGCAGAGTCATTACCACACTCCATGTGTTTAATCTGGGTTTTGCTGGGCGGGCGGGGGGAACAAGGCTTGCCTCCGCTGACCCTCATGCTCTCTTTGCTGCCAACAGCACACAGCTGGGGACACCAGAGCAGGCTGGGGGCTCTGCTGCATCCACCCAGCAGAGCCACCAGAGCTGGGGACACCAGAGCAGGCTGGGGGCTCTGCTGCATCCACCCAGCAGAGGGTCAGGGACCCCCCAGACCAACCCTGGCACAACACGCCATCCCCAGGGAGCCCTGTCCCTCACCCAGGACAGACCACACCAGGGGCATGTGGCCGACTCCATGGCCCCCAGTGCCATCCCATTTACTCCGCTGTAACAACCAGCTGACATGGATGCTCAACAAATCACTGCAGGGGGGAATTTCAAAGCTACCTGCAGTCCATCGTGTTTCATCTATATGGGAGCAGGATGCCGAGGCGCTACTGCCGTACCTTTTTCCTTTTGCCCACAGCTGGTGGCTGAACTCCATTTATCAATAAACTGCTCAGCTGCTTCGATACAAAATCCTTTCTCAAGTGGACATTGATAAAACCTTTAGAGGAGAAAACCAGCAATGAGTGCCGGGGCTGCAGAAGTGCCTCAAGCCACTTTCTGTTTCCTTCCCCCTTGGATTTTTGCTTCCTCGCGTCAAGGACAAGAGCATAGGAAAGTAGCTTGATAAAACAAAAATGTTCAGCAACAGGACGACAAAGCTGGCACTAGAAGACAATTTCTGTTCCCAGATTACAAGAGCCTGTTTCACACCTCTGTAGCCTTTACTGTAGGACTTAGATTCTGTGAGCTAGTCCACTGACACAACTCTTTTTTGCACACTGTCAAATGTGAATTTATAAAAACATTTTTAATAAAATAAATAATCTTGCCTGGGTTTGTAGAATACAAAACCAAATCCTGCTTTGTCTCCTTTTTTAAAAGTTAATATCCTAAACCACATAGTTACACCTGGAGTAATCCATGCTTGTGGAATGACACCATTTTACTTCTGCTTCACAGAGCTAAAGAATGAGCCTCTGCCCCAGCACTCGAAGGGCTGTGCCATGTGATTTTTATGTTTTTTGCTGCAGCCCTAAGGACTATGAGCCATTGTATTTCTTTCTGGGTGACAGGGACAAAACAGATGCAGCAATTAATAACCTCCGTGCCTCTCCAGTGTCTCAGTGCTGAGAGGACAAGGTCTCCTCACCATGCAAGCAACAGTGAGAAGGGCATATCGATTTTTGCTGCGAGTTCATGATTGTGGTCTGATACCCATCACCAATATTCGAAGGGGAAAAGCTGGTTCTTTAAGGATCAGTGGAAAAATTGCTAATTCAAGGGCTCAGGACTGCACTAACCAATTCTAATAGAGAGGTAGATTTGCTGCTGCTGCTGCACAAGTCTGAGCACTACAGAGCTCACCAAGATTGAAGAAGCTAATTCACCCCATAACTGCAGTTTTAAATCACAAAGTAGTTGAACTCAACTCAGCTTCCAGTATAAAATCAGTATATTCCAGTATATATCACCATCCAGTATAAAACCACTGTATCAGCTTTAAAACATAGAAGTTTGTAAGACAAAACTATCTTACCAGGACCGGCAATTTCAACCTTCTCAATGCATTCGTTGGTAGGAATATTTTTTGTTATTTTCTCAGCAATCTCCCTTGGGCTAACCTTTTGTTCCTTGGTTTTGAGCAGTATCTGAAACACAACCAGAGGACCAAGTAAACACAAACAAACGAAATGCAACAACCCAAGCAACCAAGGATAATCCTAGCTGCCCAACTTTCTTCAAAGAGGATCAGAAAAACTGCTGGTAAAGTGGCTCTTCTTCTGCCTCCAGACATAAAGGGCCCACTGTAGGGAACTCCAATAACACGATGCAAGTTTACATGGTAGAATCAGAACGGTTTGGGTTGGAAGAGACCTTCAAAGCCCATCTAGTCCAACTCCACAAGTTCTCTGCCCATTCCCAAAGCATCTTCTCACATAGCTTTTTGCAAATCTTAGAAAAACACCCTTCAGGAGGGTTCTGTGAGGTAACCCAACCCAACCCTTGCAAAACACTATATTTACACTGTACAAAATTACCACAACTATTTGTTTCTGAGCACATGATTTTCCATTCTTAATGTGATGTGTTTGGAAATAATCTATTGTCTCACTCCCATCAAGGCCACAAAGAGCACTCAATGCAGAATTTACACTCACTACTGCTTGTATTTGCTAAGTTGCAGTCTGCTGCAAAATGTGACTTCTACTTACATTTCAGCTTCCTGTTTAACCTGTCACAGTTGATCATAACAGGACCCTTGCAAGACGGTAAGGGCTTAGAAAGGGCAAGGAAAAAACCAAACCCTGTAGCCTTTAATGCTACTCAAAGTGCAAACTACAGGAAAAATAAATGCAAAACCAGAATACAGGCATGCTATAGCGGATCACAGGCATGTTATCTGAACCATTCCAGGAACAGTCACTGTACTCCTCTTACTCCAAGGAGCAAGCAGAGCTCCTGGCTCAAACCCCAGGCATTAATACGCTAACGAGCTCCCAGGAAAACAATATGCACTTGTGAGGGCTGTTTCCACATGGGCGCGTTGCAGGGAGCGGCTGCTGCCCGGCACGTACTAGAGGGCACTTCCTGCTCCTCTGGCAGTGGCGGTGACAGGTGACCGATGTTCCAGCTCTGCGCAGGGGACACCCCGCAGGAGCAAGGCTCTACGGGAGACCTGCACCACAGTCAAGTCCCTAAAACTCACAGAATCACAGAATCTTCTAGGTTGGAAGGGACCTTAAAGATCATCTTGTCCAACCATCAACCTAACTGACAAAAATAGACAACCACACAACACACAAGGAGCATCACTAAACCATACCTCCCAGCACTACATCACCCCGTCTTTTGAACACCTCCAGGGATGGTGCCTCAACCGCCTCCCTGGGCAGCCCATTCCAATGTCTGATAACCCTTTCAGTGAAAAAATTTTTCCTAATATCCAGCCTGAACCTCCCCTGGCACAACTTGAGGCCATTTCCTTTTGTCCTATCGCCTGTGACTTGAGAAAAGAGACCAACCCCCACCTCTCTACACCCTCCTTTCAGGCAGTTGTAGAGAGCAATAAGGTCTCCCCTCAGCCTCCTCTTCTCCAGGCTGAATAACCCCAGTTCCTTCAGCCTCTCCTCATAAGACTTATTCTCCAGACCCCTCACCATCTTTGTCGCCCTTCTCTGGACCCGCTCCAGCACCTCAATGTCTTTTTTATGGTAGGGGGCCCAAAACTGGACACAGTACTCGAGGTGAGGCTGACGGAAAGCGCAGAAGCTGCTGCTCTCAGAGGGAAACGACTGCGCTGCATACCCTGGCTCTGCTGTGCCCATGTGCCCCGAGCGTGCCGCACGTGTGAGTGTTGCCAGGCTCAGGCCCAGCTCACACGGCGTGCCTTTCCAGGGAACAAATGCTACAGCCAAGCTCAGGACTAAGGAACCCAACCCTGGGTTCAGACACTGAGTTATGTGAACAACGTCGACACCGAGCCAGGGCTGCTCGAGAATCCCAACCGCGACTTAATTGGGGTAAAGCAGCGGTCAAAAAAAATAGCAAAGCTCAGAAAGCCCGTGTCGGTGCAGTCACCCAGGGTGCTCCTCTGGCTGGAGCCCAGTCACAATATGCTAACGAGACACGGGAAGATGACATGTATTTGTGAGGGCTGTTTCCGCCTTGGCACTTCAGACCACGAGCCTGCTGGCTTGCACGTATCGGTGCTGCCGCGAGTCAAACGCCTTGTGGAAGGACAACAGAGAGGCTGCAGATGACAACCTGGGAGAGCAGAACCCCATGTGTGTGGCTGCGAGTTCAATGTCAACGTTACCAGCCTAATATGTTAATACAGGTGAACTGACAACAGAACATTAAAAAAACACCCTTGCTTCTCTTGAGATTGCAGAATAAAAGGTGTGTAATTGCAAAAAGTCTATCTCTTCACTCAAAAGCATCAAGGAGCTGAAAGTTTGGGCACTTTAGCACCTCAGCTAGAATGCAGTACCTTCTTCCTCCCCCACCTCCCGGTTGCCCCCCCACTGAGCAACTCCTCAAGTGCCTCTTTGACTGTTTGGGTCCTCTTTGGCCAAGTATCTTCCAGAAAGCAGCAATCCCATAATTTTCAAAAGTATCTGTTGATACCAGCCAGGTTAAAAAACCCCACTCCCTCCTTTGCATATAGCAGGTGTTCTGTGAAGTGGAACCATTCTTACAGTTGCCTGAAAACCTCCACGATCAGAACATCATAATAAGAAAAAACAAGTTTCCTGCCTTTTGCTCAGTTTAAAGAAAACATAAGCTCCACCAACCATAGATGTGGGGATGCCCACATAGCCAACCCTCAGCAAAGGCACACCCTCAGCATACCAAGTCATGTCAACAGAGGTTTAAAGGTCTACTCTGTGCAGGCCAATGCTTCCCCTAAAATGCCATTAGATAACACACTGAATTCTCAGCCTGGAGGCCTGCAACAAGCCTGAAACAGGTCCAACACTGCAACTCTCACTGTGCTGTCTATCACTTATCTTCTAACAGACAATGTCCCCGTTCTTTCTTCTCTTTGCAAGATCATTGAGGTTTACCTGTGTTATGCCCATGGCGCTGTTACACTGGTAATCCCCAAATTTGGGCTGCTGACTTGGCGTCACCACTAGCGGTGGGTTTTCCAAATCTGGGTAGGCAGCCTGAATAGCAGTGCCAAAGATCTCCTGAAGACGGCTGTTGATATTAATCATGCTTTTTGCTGTTTTACTTCTTTCCTCTTGAAGGCTCTGAAAAAAACAAAATCCAGAAGGCTAAATTCACAACATCTGAGGAGCCGTTACATCCCACTTTTTTCCTTGGCTGCCTGGCAGAGCATGGCTGACAGATTTGGCTGACACCTCCAGGCACAAGAGCAACATATACAACATAAAAATCATGTGATTCAAGAGCTGCTTCTCCCTTGGAAGCTCCCAGCACAAACACTTCCCCTGAATGCAGGGCTGCATTACTCCTCACACCTTTGCCAGTGATCCTGGCAGAGACCTCAGCTGGGCTGCCCGTGACAAGACTAGCCAAGATTTTATGGTGTGGGCTTATTAACCCACTAACCCATACGAAATTTTCCATAAACCAGGTTTCTGTTTAAGGAACCAAGAAATATCTGATGTGCCACCAACAATTAAGGCGTCAGAACACAGAGTGACTACGCTGTCACACATGACTAGCTGTAACAAACTGACATCATTTATTTAGCTTGTCTTAATGAGAACAAAAACACACGCTGCAGCATTAATTCTTTATTCTCTTACCTTTTGAAGGAAATTTAACCGATATTTAAGTTTTGCGTTTTCGTCTCGCAAACCTTCCAAACTGGGGGAGACTCCCAAGCATCCAAAGTTCTTCAGACGCTCGATTTCTGCAGTTAACAACTTGATCTCGTTTTCCTGAAAAGCAAATTTAATTGTCACACAGTAATTCTTTCAGTGGGGGGACAGAAGGGGAAGAGCTGCAGGAGCTCAGATAAGATTCTAGTTTTGCCACATAAAGGTAATACCAATGACATGTAAGTTGAGTAATGACATTAAACAATTCATGTTTAAAGGTGATTTCTATTTGTGTCAAAAACAGGGAATCTGAAACAGTCTTAAAAAAATCAGCGAGATAATAATCTCACTAACATCAAGACAGAAGTGCAAGAAAGACAACAGGCCATGTCAATAAAACATATTCCAAAAATAAGCACTTTCTCCAGCTTTTTTAATCTAATAAATACGCCAAATGGTTTGACTCAAAATTCCCTAAAGCCTCCTTCAGCCAGTTTCACCGTCTCACAGGCCAGGGTTTCTTTTCCACAGGAAGAAACCGCAGTCACTCACACAAG